CCCCTTCTGTTCTCAGTCACTCGGCTCTGAGTGAAAGCGAGTCCGCTATGCCGCAGCTTCTCCAATCTGGCGGTGTTTGGATCAGGGCGGCTGGGGGGTGGCTTCAGGCTCATCTCTCCTCTAACCCCACCAGATTAGAGCTGGGGAATGTATGCAGAGCCAGCCGAGTTTTCATTTTCCTCACTTGGAATTCCAGAGCACTTGCCGACCCACTTACTGCTTGGCATAATTCCCTCTGAATGGGCTGAAGGAAACTTGGACGGCTGGTTTTTTGCATGTTTTTCTAGCTTGTAAACTGGGGCTACCCATGCTGGAGACAAGCAATTTTTATCTGCGCTCTAACCAGGCGCTGCTCACCTCTGCTGGCCTCTGTATAACCAATAACTTGAGTAGACAAAGCAGCATCGAACCAGCCCATTGGCACTGCTCTCTGTACCGGGTGTTGCTGTGCGTTGTTTAACCCAAACCACGTTTGGGTGGTTTAACACAGAGTTGATCTTGGAATGGTGGTGGTGTTACTCATGCTCTTTTCTGGCTGTCGAAGGTGCAGATAATGAATAAGAAGCTGGATCTTAGCAACGTTCAATCCAGGTGTGGCTCAAAGGATAATATCAAACACAGCCCCGGAGGAGGCAGTGTGAGTACTTTCACACGTTCGTGCACTATAACAAACCTTCTTAACAGTGGCGTGATTGTGTACACTAAACCGCCCATGCTATCTTCGGCGTTCGGATAGCTATTGGTGATGCGCAATAAATTAACCCATTAACATGGAAGACCTGGTTAGATTAAACTCTATCCAGTCCTGTACATGCATCGTGTGAACTGGTTTAATTGAAAATCCTTCAAGAAGAAACAGTGTTCCCTAGGAAAATAATCCTGTTAAGCCAGAGGTTTCTAGCTACCTTCCATTGTCTGCAGAATGGAATGACTGTACCAGACAGACGATTAGGTGGATACTAACGCAGTCCATGTGCCAGTTGTTGCTATGGACGGTAGCTTAGGAAGCGCGGGCAAACTGAGGTCCCCAAGTTCTGTAAAGTGCCATCTACAGTTGCAACACCCTATAAAACACGTGAAAGACCCAGTCACTGCCCGAGAGCTACGTTCAGTCTCAGGCAGTGGATGATACGTGGGTGCCAGGGTCCTTTTAAAGATCATGCATCTCCTTGTTAATGACAGCGTCTCCGGCATGCTTTAGGCAGTGGTCTGAGAGGACTGATCAGAGTATTGCTGGACTCGCTGATATTCTCCAATTTAAGCTGTTAGCTTAAATGGGGGGGGCACCCTTATAGTGACACTAGCAGCTTGGTACGGGCCCACTCAGAGTTACATACAGTTTGCAAATACACACCCAGCCCAAACGTTTTACCTGTACTCGTATGGTCCAGGAAAGAGGAACAAAAACTGCGCGTTGAGTGAGTTCACTCGCCATTAAATCTGTAGGTGATCAGCTGTGTCCTCACACTGCAGTTGGAGGCAGGCTGCCGGTGTGATAATGCTTTGGGCACTATTGTCTATAAATTTAAATCCGGTTTCTTTCTTCCCGTTTGAACACACGTGGCCAGATTGAGCTCCCAGTTACACTGCTGAAAATCTGGAGTAACTTAATGGACTTACACCATGTCTCTGAGGGCGCAATGTGGCTCCAGGGGAATAAGGCCAGGAGAGAATGTGACAGGGCCAAGGGAAAGACTGTCTCAGAAATAGTCAACAGCAGCCCCGTCTCAGAGATGGGTGTCCACAGTGCTGTTTCTGACCAGCATATGGGAGCTGTCTTATGCTTAGTGATCTACCAAATTCATGGTCCATTGAGGTCAATTTCACAGTCCTGGGATTTAAAAAACATCATAAATTCCATGATTTTGGGTATTTAAGTCTGAAATGTCACGGTGTTGTAACTGTAGGGGTCCTGACCCAAAAGGGAGTTGTGGGGAGGTCACAAGGTTATTGGGGGGGGGGGGGCGCGTACCCTTACTGGTCTGCTGCTGCTGGTGGCGGCGCTGCCTTCAGAGCTGGGCAGCTGGAGAGCGGCGGCTGCTGGCCGGGAGCCCAGCTCTGAGGTCAGAGCCGTGGCCAGCAGCAGCGCAGAAGTAAGGATGGCCTGGTATGGTATTGGCACCCTTACTTCTGCGCTGCTGCCTGCAGACCTGGGTCCTCAGTCCGCAGCCGCCACTCTCCGGCCGCCCCGCTCTGAAGGCAGCAGCGCAGACGTCAGGGTGACATGGTAGGGTATCGCCACCCTTATTTCCACGCTGCTGCTGGCTTCTACGCTGCCTTCAGAGCTGGGCGCCCAGCCACCAACTGCTGCTCTCCAGCCAGCCAGCTCGAAAGGCAGCACAGAGATAAGGGTGGTAATACCATGACCCCCCTAAAATAACCTTGCGACTTCCCTGCAACTCCCTTTTGGGTCAGGACCCCCAATTTGAAAACCGCTGGTCTCTCCCGTGAAATCTGTATAGTACAGGGTTAAAAGCACACAAATAACTAGATTTCACGGGGGGAGACTAGATTTCACGGTCCGTGTTGCATTTTTCATGGCTGTGAATTTTGTAGGACCCTACTTATGCTTATCAGCAGCCTCAGACCTTTTCAAACCAATTGACTTCCTTTTGTTTTCTCCTCTCTGTGGCTCCCTTCCCTCCCCCAGGGGCTGGGCTGGCAGAAGGACCTGGCCTCGGGGGTGGGGGGCTTTCTCCGCACAGGGCCCCACCCTGTCTGATTTTTCCCTAGTTTACATGGTGCTGCTGTGTGTACTTTGTGAGAGGCCAGCAGTCTCTGCTCTTGCCACTGATCCACTCTAGTATGGGCAATTGAATTCATGTTTCTTGCCAGTAAGAACTCAGTTAGTTAATGGGAAATGAGCTGTTGCTATAGCAACATTCATCTTTTTTTTTGTTTTGTTTGTAACCATTGGGCACAGACACTCTACAGTGTCATCTGATAATCCAGTGGGACCTCCTTTTTCTGCTCCACCAGAGAGATTCATTAGGTGAGGGGTGGTCTGAGCATTGAACTGGGAGCCAGGTACGCCTGAGATCTAATCTGGGCTCTGGCATGGATCCCCTCCGGCTGCTTGCTTTTTGCCTCTGTATCCTCCTCTC